AAAAAAAAAAAAAAATCATTAAAGGCTGAGTTAGTTTAGTTGCAGATGCAGGCTGTGGACAGCATGGACTACAGCCTGGATGTGGGTTCATGGTGGATTTGGGTAATGGAGCCATGAAGTCTGGCTGGCAAGGTGCACAGAAGGTGGAGGGCAGGAGGAGAGGCTGTGAGAAGAATCCACAGCATCAGGAAGGGCCAGAGAGGCATGAGATGGTCCTGGAGGGTCCTTGCAGAGCAGTGATGGGAATGGGGTGCATGTTGGGGGTGTGCTGGAGGAGAGACCCTGGAGGCAGGGGGACCAGAGGAGGGGAAATGGTGGATAGGAAGACGGGCAGGGTGGCTGGAAGTTGGAGGGTGGGGTATGATGCAGGGGAGGGAATGGCAAGTGCAGTGGGAACAAGGGCACAGAGGAGAGGTGGGATGGAGCCTCAGTGTGGAGAGGCCACAAAGAGACGTGAAGGCTCAGTGCTGGAAGAGGCCCAGAGAGCTGGCCTGAGGTGCCCAGTACGGACAGCTGGGTGGGCATTGTTAGCGCTACCACCTAAAGGACCATGGGGGTCTCTTGCTGCTCCCTGCCCGGGTGGCTCCTCTCAGTAGCAGCCGTATGCAGGTGGGAGATGGAGGAGGCAGGTGCCTGGAGGCCAGCAAGAGCCTCCACCAGCTTTTGGTCAGCCTTGGGGACTTTTTTGGGAGAGGTGCCTGCGCATTGGCAAGCGGGTGGAAGCTGGCAAGGACCAGACCCTTGGCTACTTGGAGAATGTGGTGTTGGAGGCCCACGAGTCACACAGGCAGGGTGGAGTGGGGATTTGCGGGAGAGCCGAGGCGCCAGCATTGGGCCAGCCAGAGCCCTTCCACCGGACAACAGTCCTCAGAGGCAGGATGCCATGAGCCCCAGAGGCTCAGGGAGGGAAACCCACTTCTCCAGGGAGCCTTCCCAGGGTGCCTTGGGGCATTGGGACCTGGACTCAGGTGTTTGGGTGATGCCAAGACCCTCCTTGATTCAGGGTTGTACCTTGATTTGGGGTTGTACTGATAGACCGTGCTGCGGCTGGGGACACTGAGGCCCGGAAGGGGCGCTCGGTGCTGAGTGACGCGACGGGGGGCGGGCCCAGGGTCCTTACCTGCCCGCCTCCGCCCGCGAGGGGCGGAGCCGGCGGCCGCGGGGCTTGGAGCTTGGGGCTTGGGGCGAGGCGGGCATGGCGGGCTCCGGGTCTCGGGCGCGCTGCTGGGGCCGTCGGGACCCGGGGGCAGGGGATGAGGCGGCGGCCGGAGGAGGCGGCGCAGGGCTGTGTCGGTGCGCGCAGGGGAGGCGGGCGCGGGCAGCCTCTGGGAAGCCGGCGGTGTCTGCCGCGTGGACATCGTAAGTACCGCCCAGACCCCTGGCCCCGGCCCGGGGCGGAGACCTGGGTCGTAAGCCGCCGGACTGCGACCCCGGACCCGACCAGGAGCCCTGGGAGCGCTTCGCGCGCCTTCGCGCTTCCTGCAGGAACAAAGGCGGGCGGGTCTGGGAGCTGCGGGCCGGTACAGGGCTTGTCCCTCTGCCAGCACCTCTTGCGGCTAGGCATGGGCACCGGGCACCCTCTTCCCCCTACGCGGGGCTCTGTCGGACTGGGCCGGGTAGGGCAGGCGCAGGGGTGTGTCCGCGCCTTTGTTCCAAGCCCAGGCCTATTGTTGGGGACCCCGCACTGGGACGTGGTTTTCCTTCCCTCCAGGGAGATATGGCTTTGTGCTCAGGCAGATGGGCCGCTGGGGGTTGACGCAGGTAGGGGTGGGCAGAAGGCAGCCTGGGTCCTCCCAGGCGGTGACTTACTTCTTGGACCTGTGGTGGAATATGCCCGTTTGCTCAGAGTAGAGAGCGGTATTTCTTTATGTGTGCTTGAGGCTGGAGCTGTAGTGGGATAGTTAACAAACGGACTGGCCCTCCGGGTCTGACTCTAGCTGCTCCCTGCCCACTTCCAAACAACTCCACTGGGGCCCCGGGTGGGCTGTTGCCACCCACCCAGGTTCTTCTGGCTGCCCCAGAGGAAGCCCATGCCCAAAGACCGGGCTCACAGCAGAGCTTATTCTGCATAGCGCTAAGTGGGCAGGTGGGAGGAATTTCTCAAATCCGCCTCCCTGAACATTAAGGACAGTTTGATGGGCAGAGGGTTAGGCACTCGGGGGTCTGTTAATTGTCTGGGCTCTCCCCCTGCCTGGGTGGGTGAGCCAATCTATCCAATCTATCCATCTATCCAAATGCAGGACCTGGAAAATATCTCAAAAACTAGCCTTAGTAGGGCTGTGTGTGGTGGCACACAGCCCTTTAGTCCTAGCACTCTGGGAGCTGAGGCCAGTGAATTGCCAGAGCTCAGGAGCTTGAGACCAGCCTGAGCAAGAGCAAGACCCCATCTTTACTAAAAATGAAAAGACTAGCTGGGTGTTGTAGTGGGCAACTGGAGTCCCAGCTGAGGGAGGCTGAAGCAGGAGGATCTCTTGAGACCAGAAGTTTGAGGTTGCAATGACACCATAGCATTCAACTCAGGGTGCTGGAGTGAGACTCTGTCTCAAAAATAAAAACAAAAAAACAACTAGCCTTAAGTTTCAAAAGGGTGATGCTGTTTGTGGACAAAGTTGAAAACCTTTATGGCACCAAGTATGTGACTCCAGATCAGCAGACAGGGGTACAGTGGCTAATTAATGCCATCATTTTTAGCTAAGCCTATTCCTTCACAAAGTTTTGAGGCCCTTACTCTAGTTTTTGCCTTGTACCCCTTCACCAGTTTGTAAGGGTGGTTTCAGGACTTGCCCAGGGTACCCCACCTGTCCCGTTCTATCAGAACAGGGCCGGGTGGGGGTACTGCTCAGCAAGACCACAGGTGGGGGACACTGTAACTGAGCACTTGGGGGTGTTTACAGAAGAGGGGACTCTTCATCTGGGTCTTGAAGGATGAGTAAGGGTCCTCTGCCTGGGAAGGAGTAGAGGTCATCTCTGTAACCCAGCCTCTCCCTCAAGGCAGAAGTGGAAATGTGGAACAGCCTGGAGCAGGTGTCCTCAAAGTACAGCCCACGGGCCACATGCAGCCTGCCTAGGACATTTATCTGGCCCGCCGGGTGTTTTTGCTGCTGCTGCCTGTCCTGCTTAGCAGCTGACTTGTCCCGGGGCCCACAGTCCAACCCTCCCAACAATCTGAGGGACAGTGAACTGGCCCCCTGTTTAAAAAGTTTGAGGACCCCTGGCCTGGAGGATTTTGAGGGGAACAGCTGAGCATGAGTAGAGGGCAAGGCCCTATGCCAAGGCCTGGGATGTTAAGTCCTGTGGGCCTGGGTCAAGCCTGAGGCAGTCACAAGTGACTGTGAGCGTGTGGTCCCTGCTGGGGCTCAGGCCAGATAGGTGAAGATGCCCCAGGCTAATGAGGTGGATACCAGCCCACCCACCAAATTGTCACCCCAGCCTCTGGAGAGTGTGCTATGAGCTGGGCCATGTCCACCTGTCCTCCAGATGCCAAGGCCTGGGAATTGTCCACAGAGTCAAGCCAGGTGGGAACCCAGGTCGCTTGACCAGGAGACGGGGGCTCTTGGCTATTGCTTTCCTGCTTCCTGTTCAGGGCAGGCTCACCTGATCCTGGGGCTCAGGGTAGTCCCTACAGGGCGTTGTGGTCAGTAGGTATGTGCTGAATGAACCATTGATGATTAAGGACGCACGTAGCCCTTGGGCTCCGTGGAGGTCAGGTGTGTGGCTCCGTGCACCAGGGACTGGCTGAGTGGACCAGGTGGGCCTCTCCCAAGCCCCACCTGGAAGCCTCAGGCCTTCAGAAAAGGGGTTTCCTCATCCCTTGTTGCCTTACCTCCATGCTGTCTCCTGAATTCTGGCAGGGTCCCCCCAAGCATCCTAGCTAAGCCATTTCCTGTCCCCTGCCTCTGGCTGAGCCATATCCCTTCCTCTTTTATCACAGCTTTATGGCGGCTGAGGAGATGCACTGGCCTGTTCCCATGAAGGCCATTGGTGCCCAGAACCTGCTCACCATGCCTGGGGGTGTGGCCAAGGCTGGCTACCTGCACAAGAAGGGTGGTACCCAGCTGCAGCTGCTTAAATGTAAGTCCCTTGGGTGGTGGGGGACACAGTGGGATGATGTAGGGGTAAAGCTGGGGCTATATTCCTTGCCTTCCTACTTCTCTGCTGGGCCTCCTTAGGCAAGTGAACAAGTGATCCCCTCTTCCTCACGCGGAGGGCTCTGGGGCTTCTTTCCCCCTCTTAGGGGATTTGAGGTTGGCCTCTCCAGCCCCCAGGACTAGCAGGGTCCAGAGTGGTACAAATGGGCAATGAGATAGGATGGGGGTTTGGCACAAGGTGCTGCCAGCTAAAGGCCACAGGATCTTTAGCCTGCACCAGGACTAGGGCACCTTAGGTGGCCTGCTGGATCTGGCCCCTGGTGCTGCCCTTGCCTCATCTGTGAGTGTTCAGTGAGTTAGGTGGTCAGCCATGGGTCTCTGAGGCTGTGTGAGACCGAGGCTCTGGGCCCCAGGGCAGCAGGCTGGGAGAGAGAGGGTGTTCCCTGGAGATGCCAAGTGTGGAGACACTGATGGCCAAAGAGCACCAGGTCTGACCAACAGCCGTGCCCTCTGCCAGGGATATCCTGGTGCCCCATAGAACTCAGTAGGCAGCTGTGGCATCCCTGGGCCCAGGCTCTGACTCTGTCCTTCCTCTGCACATCCCCTCAAGTGTGAAGGTAGCCAGGCCTTCCCTGGGGTGTATTCTGGTTGGCCAGCACACCTTGAACTTGTCTCCTGTAGAGAAAGTGGACTCCTATAGATGGGCAACCAGCCCAGCCCTATTTTTCCATCCAGCAGGGCTCAGTAAGTTGCCAGGGCCTCTGGGGGGGATCCTTGGAGTGGGATCTGCCTGCTGGCCCTGGCAGCTCAGCCCCGCCCTGCCTCCCTTGCACAGGGCCCCTACGCTTTGTCATCATCCACAAGCGATGCATCTACTACTTCAAGAGCAGCACGTCTGCCTCCCCGCAGGGCGCCTTCTCGCTGAGCGGCTATAACCGGTAAGTGCCTGTCAGCCTGCGGACCTGGCCCCACAGCCATCTAGCCATCTTGCCAGCCTACCTGACAGCTCTGGCTGGGCCCACCCCCGTTCCCACCCAAGGACAGTCAAGGCTTTCCAAGATGGCCTTGGTTCCCCCCTCTTGGCTCTGTGCCACCTCTGCCACACCACTGGCCCAACCTCCATGAGACCTCACCCCTCTCCTCACTTTCTGCCCTCAGGCTTTTGCTAAGGACCTGGGGGTGGGGCAGGGGGCTTCCTGTGGCTTTGTGGACAGGTCCCGAGGGCCTGGTCTTCAGTCTCCACTCAGCTACAGACTGGTGACTTCTGCACCCCTCCTCTTTCTCTGCCCTGTCCCTTCACTCACCATGGCCTCCTTCCAGGGAGGCAATAGCCCAGCCAACCTAGCCCCGCTCTAAACTTGGCCCTGCCCTTTGGCTCCAGGGCCCTCCCAGACTGGGCACCTTCCCTGCTTCAGATGTGCTGTGGGCCCCCCTCTATCCGGTGGGGGTATGAGCCTGCCTTTGAGGGTCTTCTGGACTAAGGGGCAGGTGAGCGAGCCAGGGCCTGAGCCTTCTGGGTGGGATGCAGCATGGGGGTGCAGATGGGCCTGTGGGGGTCCATGGAGCAGAATTAAGTGCTGGCTTCTGGGCTGTGGTTCTAGGGCTTGCCCCTGGGCCCTGCCCCCTGCAGCATTAGTCTGCCTCTCACGCACACTTCAGGGCCCAGCCTCTCCTGCCTGTGAAGAACCAAGGGGCACATGGTATTAGCGGTGGGACTGGCACCTTTGCAGATACTCTGGGAACTGCTTGCACCCTGGCCACAGCCTTGGTAGGGCAGTCTTGCCAAATCACCCAGCCCAGTGCCAGGCCTCCAGGCTGGCCCAGGGCAGTGGCATATAGCAGGGAGGAGTCCTGAGAGCCCTGTGGGTGGCAGGCAGGCACTGGTCCATCAAAGCTCTGGGGTTCCTTGGGCGGGTCATTCCATTTCCCCAGACACATTCCCTGTCAGCCAGCCTCCAGCATGTGCCAGCTATACTGGGGACACTGGGCAGGCCCACTGGCAGACGCAGCTGTGCCCCAAGTAATTGTCTGGCTTGTGAGAGCTGCTGGACCTGTGATGGGCACGCCAGGGTACCTGGCAGGTGGCATTGTCCCCATGGTAAACTTGGTGGTCTCTATGCAAACCCCACATCCTAGAAGGACGAGCAGGCCACAGAGCAGATCATCTCTGATCTGTGTGCAGTCATCTCTGAAATGTGTGCAGTCATCTCTGAAATGTGTACAGGGCTGGTGCTGCACAGGAGGCTCAGACCCCTGGGAGGGCCCCCAACAGCTAGGCCAGGGGCCAGGTGGGGCTGGAGGTGGGAGGGCAGTGTCCACGTCAAGAGGCACTGGTGGGCATTGAGGGTGATGTGTCCTCATCTCCCTACGCACTGCTGCTCCCAGGAACCCCTCTCAGAGCCCTGCTCTCCTCCGTCTGCTCAGTCTGCTCCCTCTGCACCCATACTCTCCTATCTGCCTGGGCTTGAGCCTTCTGGGTAGGATGCAGCATGGGGGTGCAGGCTCCCAAGGCCTGTCCTTGTTTCCATGTCCCTTGGAGTGTGGTGCTGTCCAGAGAGGGGACCGGATGAGGCCGTCCCTGTGGCTGTGGATCAAGTGGTAACTGGTGGCTCTATGCCTTCAGGGTGATGCGGGCAGCCGAGGAGACGACGTCCAACAATGTTTTCCCCTTCAAGATCGTCCACATCAGCAAGAAGCACCGCACGTGGTTCTTCTCAGCCTCCTCTGAGGATGAGCGCAAGGTGGGAGGGCATGGGGGATGTAGCTGGGTGTGGGCAGCTGGGCAGTGCTGGTCCTTAGCCCCCATTCTCATACCTAAGGCCTGGGGCCATTGCCACCCAGAATGTGCTCAGAGGCCCTGATGGCTGAGGGAGAGCTGTAGCCCCAGAAGGGCCAGGCCACATTGAGCCACACCGCCTGAGTGGGACCCAGAGGGTTATCATCCCCAGCTTTACTGGTCCCTGCAGAGCATGCAGGCAGCAAGGGAGGAGGCATGAGGGGGCTGCCCTGGTAGCACCATGCCCACTGCTGCCCTGCTCGCCCACAGAGCTGGATGGCCATGCTGCGCAGGGAGATTGGCCACTTCCATGAGAAGAAAGAGCTGCTCCTGGACACCAGGTGGGCCCAGGGGTATGGTGGCTGGGGTGGTCCCTAGGGCTCCTGGGCTTGGTCCAGATCCACCCTCAAAAGATTTTTCTAGAGGTGCCGGGCATGCTGCATGTGTGAGACGTGCATGTAATATGTTGTGTGGTATGTGCATGTGAGACTACATGTGGAGACGTGTGTGAGACATGTAAGACTGTGAGACGCGCATGTATTAGACTGTGACATGTGCATGTGGGACCTCATGTATGAGACGTGTGTGAGACTGATACATGTGTGAGAGACTGATATGTGTGTGTGGGACCTCATGTATGAGATGTGTGTGGTGCTACATGTGTGAGACATGCATGTGAGATGTGCAAGACTGCGTGTGCGAGACATGTGTGCACCGTCTCTCTGTTCGTATCTGTCCTCTCCAGCACATCTGTTCTGTGTCATGGGGATTGGTAGTTCCTGTTTGGGGGGGTCCCAATGTCTTTACTTCCACTACCCAGGAGGCCCAGCATACGCAGCAGCTCAGAGCTTTGGCTTCCTAGGCCCTTCTGTCCACCTGGCTCGCTCTGGGATGAAGCCAGAACCCACTAGGTCTCCATCTCAGTTTTTCTGTGTCTCAGTGGCCTCATGGGTGAGGGCTCCCTGGGTTGGAGCTGACTGTCCCCTGGGACCGGGACACACTGTTCTGTCCTTTCATAGATGAGGAACCTGAGGCTCAGAGAGGGCTGGGCACACCCAAGGCTGCCTGCAGGTCCCCATCTGAGCCCCAGAGCTCCTGGCCCTCATCCAGCTATTGTCCTGACACCAGCACAGAGCTGACTGAGCCCCTTCAGGCAGGAGCAGGTGGCGACCTGGGTCCTACTCTGAGGCCCCTGGCCAGTCCAGGATCACATTTGTGGCCAGAACTATAGCTAGGAGGGAAGGAGGCGCCAGTCTGTCCTCACACTGTGTGTGTGTATGTGTGTGTATATGTGCATGTCTCCATTTTTACACGACCATGTGCGTCTTTGTGTCTGTCTCTCTGTGTGTTAGAGTAGCCGTGTGTGTGCAGGTCCAGGGGTCTCCCAGGCCTGGTGCTCACTGCCTGCCCCCTGCATTGCAGCGACTCCAGCTCTGACACAGATAGCTTCTATGGTGCAGTTGAGCGACCTGTGGACATCAGCCTCTCTCCGTACCCAACAGACAACGAAGGTGAGGCTTTTCTCCATGCCTGCTGCCCCTCTCCTGCTCCTTTGCTGGCTCCTGAGTGACAGGCCCAGTCCCCCGGGGCTGTGGCAGGGAGAGGAGGCTCGTTCACCTATGCTCTTGCTCAGTCCCTTTGGCAGAGTGATGATGGCTTCCCCAGGCTCTGGCCTCTGGGAGCTTGATTCTGGGTTCACATCCTGGTGGCCTTGTCCTTGGCCTCATGCCTCCTGGACCCTCAGCCCTGTGACTGGCTCACTGTTCTGAGGCCCCACTGTCCTGCCCTGTGTGCAGCTGGGCCTGGGCCTCCTTGAATCTCTCCCTTTGTTCCTCTGACACAGACTACGAACATGATGATGAGGATGACTCCTACTTGGAGCCTGACTCTCCGGAGCCCACAAAGCCCGAGGGTAAGTGGGCGGGGATCCAGGAGACCTGGGAGCTCTCGGTAGGTGGGCCGCCCCTCCCCTGCTGGGAGGTGCCTACCTGGTCACTGGTTTGGGTGGCCTTGGTTTTCCTGCTGCAGCCTGGGTATTAGGAGGATGCAAAAACAGGTAGGCACTGGCCAGCTCTGCTCACGTGCTCCCCCAACGCCCAGGTAGGGGGAGGCATGGGAAGTGTTGGTGAGTGAAGCCAGGGTGGCTTGGGGGTGCGAGTGGAGAGCAAGAGCGCTGAGGAGTGGGTGTGCCCAGGCTAGGCCATGTCCTTTGTCTGTGACCTCTCTGTGGAGACAGGGGTAGCCCACCTGCCCTTGAGGCCCTGGCATCTGCCCGTGGCAGCATGGAAGTTATACACATGTGATAGGAAAATGCAGGGCTACGTGATGTAGGTATGACACTGTCCCCATCTGTCCCCTCCCTCCCCTGTATCTCCGGCCTTCTCATCTTGTCCATTTCACCATGTCTGGGGTGATCCCCAGTCCGTCTTCCCTTCCTCCCCTGCCTGGCCCCTGATCCTCAGCCTCCTGTCATCACTGACCTGCCTCTGACCACCTTAGCCCCCACCCATGTCCTGTTCTCTGCTGCCTGTCCCCTCCCACTTGTAAGCCCTGTGTCCAGCCCCTCTTCTCTTGCTGCTACCTCCTTCTGGGGCCCCAGCACCAATAGCCCTTTACCCCCCAGGACTTGTGGGTCATTTGCCTCAGTTTCCTTCCCTTGCAGACCCTCCATCTTGCCAGTGCCTGCCACATCTGCCCCTGGCCTGCCTGGACTCCACCTCTCACCCTGCCCTGGGGAGTGCTACCCACGCTCTAGCCTTACCTGTGATACTGTCCATCACCCTCTGTCCAGACCCCTCTAGTCAGGCCTCCTTCCCATCTGTCCCTAAACATCTCTCACCCAGGGTCCCAAAGGCTTGCCTGCTCCCAGATCCTGTGAGTAGCACTTGAGGGGTCCCTGGCTTGGCACCCACCCTACTCCTCACCTGCCCTGCTCCAGGCACCCCATGCTCTCGCTGCTTCCACCCTTGTGCTGATCCCTTGAGGGATGCCTGCCAAAGGACCAGGGATACCCTGGGGCTCAGGCCTCCTCTGCCACACTTTCTGAGTGACCTTTAAAGTCATTTGTGGGCTGCTGACTGACTCACATGTCCAGCCAGGACATTTGAACCCTGACAGTCCATGCGACATCCCCTGGGTGTCTCATGGCAATTTAAACTTGCTGTGAACAAGTGAAGACCTTCACCTCCCTCCTGACCGCCTATCTCCTCCCTTGGGCACCCTTGACTCTGCTGCCTTTTCCGCTTCCACTGCTGGCAACTCCACGGCTTCTTATGTGACATCTAGGTTTCAGGAACCTTTCTCAGACTGTTGTGTGGAGGATGGAAGGGAGGGCCAGGGGGTGTGGGTGGTCTGGGACCCAGGGAAGGCTGGGTGGGGAGTACTAGGTGTTGGGGACAGGGTGGGTAGGCCGTGGGGGCTGTGACAGTCCACACACCTGCTTGGCCAGGCTCTGACAGAAGGTGGAGTTGATCCAACATCCAGCAGGTGGTTTCAAAATTGGTCTCTTTGTTTGCAGATGCCCTGATCCACCCACCAGCCTACCCACCACCCCCAGTGCCTGTGCCAAGGAAGCCAGCATTCTCCGACATGCCCCGTGCCCACTCCTTCACCTCTAAGGGCCCTAGCCCCTTGCTGCCACCTACACCCCCTAAGCATGGCCTCCCAGATGCCAGCCTGGCTTCTGAGGACTCCAAGAGGGACCCACTGGGCCTGAGGCGGGCCGAACCTGCACTCAGGGTGCCTGTGACCTCCCGAAGGATGAGTGACCCCCCGCTGGGCAGCGTGCCTGCTACTCCTGGCCTTCGGAAGTCCCCTTGCATCCGAGAGAATGCCAGCCCCAGCCTGGAGCCCTGGAACCCTGGCCACGGGGTTAACTCTGCCTCCAGTTCTGCCACCATGGCTGTTGCCACCTCTAGGAACTGTGACAAACTCAAATGTTTCCACTTGTCTCCCCGGGGGGTACCCACATCTGAGCCCCCACCTGTGCCAGCCAACAAGCCCAAGTTCCTGAAGACAAGTGAAGAGGACCCCCCACGGGACATGCCAAAGCCTGGACTCTTTGTGCCCCCGGTGGCCCCCAGGCTTCCTGCTTTGAAGCTGACCATGCCTGAGACCACAGCTCGGCCCTCAGTCCTGCCCAGGCCTGAGAAGCCACCCCTCCCCTATCTCCAGTGAGTCTGTGCGGTAGCTGTGCCCCTGCCTCCCAGCTATGGGGCTCCCATTGTCCCAGCACTCTGAGCCTATAGGTGCAAGAGTAGGGAGATTTCCTGATCACTCTAGCTTGCCTGAGGGAACAGCTCACCTGGTTGGGAGAGTGATCAGGTAGCCTCCCCCAGTGGTGCAGGTAGCATACAACCCTGCCCTGGAGAAATATATAGCCTTCAGGCAGTGGGCCTGGAGCCATTGGCCAGGCAACTCATTGGGCAGTGCCAGGGTGCTCTAGGGTCAGGTGAGGGCCTCAGGCTGTGGGCCACCCTGTGCCCATGTGCCTCTGCCAGCCCTCCTGACAGAGGAGCCAGGGCTAGTGCTTCCTGGGGCTCCAGGTGATTCCTGCTTCCAAGCCACCAACTCGGCCTACATGCCTCCCTGATTGGGGACGTGGAGCATGTCAGGACTGGCTTGAGATGCTTTCTGCTTTATTGCTGGGAAGTGCAGGGAAACAAGTATATCCCCCACCCCCATGGTTGTCCACATCAATGGCCTGTGGTCAAAGGCATCTGGGACAGGAGGTGGGCTTGATGTCTTGCTTGTCAGGTTGAAGGCTCTGGGAGCCACAGGGATGCCTTGCTCAAAGAGGCATGGCCTCGGATGGTGCCTGTGGCTCAAAGGAGTAGGGTGCCAACTCCATATGGCAGAGGTGGCGGGTTCAAACCCAGCCCTGGCTAAAAACTGCAAAAAAAAAAAGGCATGGCCTGGGCAGGTGCTCCCTAAATGCCCTTGACTGTGGCATCCTTCCCCCCCAGTAAGACCACCATTAAGGCTCTGAGACCTCTGCTGCCTACAGGGACGTGCCAGGGAAAGCCTTGGCTGCACTGGCAATTCCAGTTCACAAGGGGCCCCAAAGGCACAGATGGTTGGGAGCTAATCATTTTCCTGTGCCTGGGGTCTGAATCTGCTAGCCACAGAGCTATGTCTGCCGGGGGCCATGTGTGTAGGGAGGTGCAATGCAGGGCCCGGCCTCACCCACAGGCTACTGTCCATCCCAATGTGGCCTTGTGACATATCAGCCTCCGTTATCCTCCCAATGCTCTGGAGATTTGGCTGAGGAGGCCCACATGGCCATGCACATGAGGCACACAGAGCTCTCCTTGTGGGTGTCCGTTGGGGTCAGATCACACTGTCTATCCCATTCACATTCTTCCTCCCCTTACCCCACGGTTCTGAGAGGGGTGTGACTTGGCAAAAGTCAAAGACAAGGGCAGTTAGCAGCAGAGCCTGGGCTGAGGTCCTCTTCCTCAGAGAGCATCCATTGGACTAGTTTACTGTGTGATGACCCCCAAGCATGGACCGGGCCTTGCCAGCATCCAGGGCAGCCCTGACCCCTGACTTGGACTTCCAGGCCTCAGGCCCATCCTCCTAGCCCAGGGCAGTCTGCTCAGGAACTCAGAGCACTGTTGTCCCAGCCTTGATAGTCACAGGGGCTGTAGCAGGGCTACACCCTGGAGTAGGATACGTGAAGGGTGACAGTGTCTGACGGTGTGTGGTCTCACCTTCCTCTCTTCCCACCCAGGCGATCACCCCCTGATGGGCAGAGTTTCAGGAACTTCTCCTTTGAAAAGCCCCGGCAACCCTCACAGGCTGACCTGAGTGAGGAGGACTCGGACTCAGACTATGAGAAGGCAAGGCTGGTGGCAAGCTCAGTTCCCCTGGCCTGGGTGGGCAGGTGGTGGGGGCCATAGGCCAGGGTGGCCCATCCTAAGCAAGAAGTCCAGAATGAAAACCAGAGGGGCACAGAAAACCATGCAGCCCTGGATCCTGGTGCAGGGGTGGCTGTTGGGAGTGGTGGTTTGACTGGGTCACTGGGACCCTGACACTGACCATGTTAGCTTCTTACAGGTGCCACTGCCTAGCTCAGTCTTCATCAACACCACGGAATCCTGTGAAGTGGAAAGGTCAGCTCTGAGCCCTTGAAGGGCTGGGTCCTCTTTTGCACCCCACCTTCCTGCTTCTGTGTCCCCTTACTCACTACAGTGTTGGGTAGTTGCTGGCACAAATACATGGCCCTGAGTGCAGGGAAACTGGGCAAGGGTGGACCTGTCAGCTCTGTCCTGCTCCCGAGGCACTCCGTGTGGCCAAGGCTTTGGAGTGGGCATGGGGGCCGTGATAGCTGGCTGAGGAAGGCTCAGCACAACTGGCTTGTTTTAGGCTATTCAAAACCACGAGCCCCCGGGGAGAGCCGCCAGATGGACTCTACTGCATTCGGAACTCCTCCACCAAGTCGGGGAAGGTAGGTAGCCAGGAGGATGTGCTGGCAGCTGCTGTGTCATAGTGGGTTCCCTGTTATTCTCACAACAGGCGACCTGCGGGCCCGGGACGTTGGTTCATAGATCACTTCCACATGCAGCTTCTTATTTGGCATGTCAGCTGCATTCCGTCCTCCTGCCTGTCAAGGACAGTCACTTCCCATCAGGGGACAAGAAGGGAGGAAAGAGCTGGGGTCTGGGACTCTCCGGTAGGGGTGGGGTCCATGCAGTGGTGGGGGGGCATGGGGACACTGGCAATGGTGGGAGGTCTGTAGTATCTCTGTGAAGTGTGTCACCTCCCTGAGCCACGCTTCCCCACATGGAGTAGACATGTTTCCAGGGGACCAGGCACTTGCTGCTGTTACTCAAGGCTCATCAGAGGCTCTGAGGGCAGAAGGAGTCCTAGGTGTGAGGGGTGGTCCTTGCTGTTGCCATGTAGGTGGCCTGGAGACCCTACCACCTTGCCCCCAGGGGCATAGACACAGCCTCAGTGCTGCCAGCTGCCTCCCTTTGTCCCTCCCAGGGTTGGCCTTCTTGGTGGTCTGTCCTTTCAGGTTAGCCATTGGCTTCTCCCTTCCCTCCCGGTAGGTTCTGGTTGTGTGGGATGAGACCTCCAACAAAGTGAGGAACTACCGCATCTTTGAGAAGGTAAGAGGGCTGGGCCTGGTCTGAGAGCTCAGGGTGGGGCAGGGAACCCGGCCCTGGGGCTTGGCAGCATAGGGTTGATAGGGTGTAGGTAGAAGCTGGGCCATAATCCTACCTTCCCCTTCTTCTCCCTCACTTGTTCCTACCTCCCTCTCCTTTTCTGCTTGCCTAGCTTTGTCTTCAGCTGACCCTGGAGAGGATGATGGGTCAGCCTTAGACCCTGGGTTTATGTATAGACCTTGCCTATAGTTCCCTGGGTGCAGGCTGTGTGCCCCTCAGTGGGGAGGTTGTGAGGTGGGAACATAGGGAGCACAGGCATGGTGTGGAGGCAAACGAGGGTGGGATGGGGCAGCCAGAAGCAGGCCTGACTGTATCACCATTACTGCTGAACATCCATTTTCCAAACGAGGGTGGGAAATAGTGTAGGGAGACTAAGGCTAGGTGCAGTGGACTGGCCTGGCTCCACTGACCTACACCCCCTCTGCCTCCACAGGACTCGAAATTCTACCTGGAGGGTGAGGTCCTGTTTGTGAGTGTGGGCAGCCTGGTGGAGCACTACCATACCCATGTGCTGCCCAGCCACCAGAGCCTGCTGCTGCGGCGCCCCTATGGGTACACCGGGCCCAGGTGACACCTGCCCCATGTGGCTGCCAGGCAGAGACAGTCACGGGGGCTATGACATCAGGCCATGCAGACGGCAATGCGCCAGCATAGGAGGATGAGCAGGAGTGAGGGCTTGCCCCAAGGCCTCTCCGATGGACACTATGGAATGTACTGGAACTCATGTAGCAGGCTGAGTCCCCACAGCTGGACCAGGCTGCAGGTTCCAGAGGGCCAGTGGACTTTTACATCACGCGGCCTTGCCCTCAAGGAACTCAGGACCCAACCTGGGCTCTCAGGACAAGAGTCTGGTTCCCCTGGCACACCTACCATGTCCTGGGCTGAGGTAGTTGGGTGGGGCAGGGGCTGGCCGAGGACCAGGTATGCTGGGTGGGAGTGCTGAGACGCAGGATCCAGTTGGGGCTGTTGCTTCCCAATAAAGCAGAGATGATCTCTGCCTGGGTATCCAAGCTTGATTAGGAAGGAGGGGGACCAGCTTCACTGAGCAGCCATGCTGATGCTCAGGTACTGACCGCAATAGTTCACAGGGACCCTACAGGTGGCTGTCCTGTCTTCAGGGCATGGGCAGCTGACCAACTTGCACAATGAGTTGCAGATAAGAACCTAAACCTGGGCAGTCTGGGCTCTGAGCCCATGCTTCAAACTCCCAGGGCAGGCCCAGGCTAACGGGGCTGCAGAGCTAACACCCTGTGTTCACAATTGGTTCATTCATTGAATTAATAAAGGGTTATTGAGCATTTCCTGTGTGCCTGGACTGGTGCCAGGGACTGGTGCCCTTGGCTTGCTGGAGCTCACAGTCCAGTGTGAGGATAGTTGGTTTTGCAGGGGGAGCTGGACCTAGCTGCAGGCTCCAGGAAGACTTCTTGGAGGAAGTGACACCTGCAGTGGTGGCAGGAAGAATGGGCCCTGAGTAGGCCAAGGGTGGGTAGGGTCAGTGGAACCTAGATGTCCAAGCCCTCCAAGCAATATCCCAACTCAGGCCCAGGCCTGAATGGACCCTTTACTTTTTGCCAGGGAATCCTAGCAGGTCCCTCTTCCTAGCACAGCAGTACAGGCTGGATTTTTAATGAGAACAGACTCAGCTGGCGGTAGAGGGGCACCATGATTGTTGTGCTTTTCACTACATTTTATGTTGGGGAAACTCAAACTGAGGACAGTACTTGGGCCCATCAGCCAGTGCCTGGGGGAAGGCCCTTTGTTTGGACCCTCTCCCCCAGGGTGCAGTCTGGGGACCTGTGGCTTACAGGAGGAAGGGGGATGAGAGGCGAGTCAGTGGGTGTGGCTGGCTGTAGGATGTGCCACTGTACACCTGGAGGACAGCAGCCATCTGCTTCCAGGAACCAGGTGTCCAAGACCATCACTGCAGGGGTTTCCTCTTCAGCCTGCCCAGGGGAGGAGTCAGTACACCAGGGCGAGTTTGGGACACAGAGAACTTCTGGTGTTCTGAACTACCTCTGGAAAACCAGCCATTTCTCCTTCCTGCAATCAGAATTCTTTGGCCTAACTTGAACTTGCTTGGAGACCTGGGAGGCATCTGCTCCCCGCCATGGCTGCGGTTTCCTTTCCTGTAAGATCTTAAAAGGGGGGAGAAGAGGATTTGGATCAGAGAAGTAGTTTTAAGCTGATGCCTGGGGGGTCTGGTTGGTGCTGTTTCATCCAGCATCAGCAGGCCGGGCCCCAGGTGCCAGGCAGTCATCTGTCTGGAGCCTTATCTGGCCCCACAGGCCCGGCTATTCTTACCCCACCCAGCCCGGCCCCCAAACTCCGCCAGGGGACCTGTAACCCACACAGGGTCGGAGTGTCTGCTCGAGGAGTGGGCGAGGCGGGCAATGCAAGCTTGGCCTCTGGGCTGCAGACCTGTGTGCTCTTGCCCCGGTTTGGCCTGCCCTTTTTGACCGAGAACTGGCCCAGAACCGGCCGTTCGGTACGCCTTCCTGCTCATTCCGGCGCCTCGACAGCAGCGCCACCAGCCACAGCCAAAGAGTATTGAGTGGTTCCACCAGTGACGAGGCCTAAATGGCCACGACCTGCCGTGCCGGGACTGTGACCCAGCAGGCCCATCATATTCCGCCCTCTTGCTGTCGCGGTCACTGGCGCCCCCGAGGCAGGCCCCGCAGCCGGGAAGGCAGGAGGCCCCGCCCCCACGGGAGACCACGCCCCCTGAGATGCAGCCAATCGCAGGAACCGTTGCTCAGCCTTTGCGCGCGCCAGGCCTATGGAGCGGTGCGTTGTTGGGCTGCGGGCCGCAGGCCGCACCCAGCTCAGGCGGCTGAGGAGAGAGCGGAGCGTTGAGGGGGCGGAGAGGCCGGGCGGGCGGGGACTGCGGGCCGGGTGTGCTCCGCGGACAGGGGGCGGAGCCGGAGCTGGAGTCCTAGACCGAGCGGACGGGCGGCGGCCGCGCTCGGACCCTGGACCTCCGCGTTGCGCACTACTGGTTTGTAAGGTGAGGCCGTAGGGCGGGGGCGGCGGCAGGGGCGCGGGGCGGGAGCGGGCGTCTAGTGCGGCGGCCTGGGCCTCCGAGCCGGGCTGGAGTCGCGGCAGGCGGGCCGCTGGTCGAACGGCGCCGGGGGCTGGGCCTCGGCTGCGGGCGGGCGTGGGCCTCGGGGCCTGCGGCGCGCCCCGAAGGCGCGGAGGGCGGGGGCGGCGTTAGGAGGCCGCTGCGGCGCCGAGGGCGTCTGGGAGGGGTCCCCGCAGCCGGCGTGGCCCGCACCGCGCGCGGAGGGTCGAGGGCGCTGCGCTGCCCTGCCAGCTCCGGGACGTGGGCTTCTGTGCGGACTTTACGGCCGGACCTTGGGTCCCCGTCGTGCTGGGGGTGACCCCTCTGCGTACCGGAGCTCGCGGTGCAGGGTTTGGGTACCGACGCGTTTGGATCTTGCTTGTTGGCTCTTATTTTTTAAAACGACGTCTTCTGTCGAAAGAGAGAAGCCGAATGGGCCTGATGTCCTGGAACTTCATTAGAGACCGGGGTTTGGTAATCTTTGTCCTCCCTGTCTTTTCTTAATTTTAGTTACTCATTTTTTGGGAGATGTCAGAGGCTCTCTCCCTTTAACTATAACTTTTTTTTTTTTTTGAGACAGAGTCTCAAAAACCCTTAGTAGAGTGTTGTGGCGTCACAACTCACAGGAACCTCAAACTCTTGGGTTCAAGCCATTCTCTTGCCTCAGCCTCCCGAGTAGCTGGGACTACAGGCACCTGCCACAACGCCCAGCTATTTTTAGAGACGGATCTCTGGCTCAGGCTGGTCTCGAACCTGCGAGCTCAGGCAATCCACCACCAGCTCCGGCCTCCCAGAGTGCTCGAATTACAGGCATGAGCCACCGCGCGCCCAGTCCTGTAACAATTACTTTTATTCTTGCTTTTCTAATTCTTGGTTCAAGATATTTGGTAAGTGATTTGTATCCACTTTATGATATCTACCTTGAAATAAATATTTAGTTTCACCTCAAACTGCTGTTGGTTTGACCGTGTGATTTTATACTTAAAATGACTAAAAGCATTTGTCGTATCTCCAAAGACCACAAGCATAGCTGCCAGCTGTATACATTTGCTGGTAAGTTACAGAAAGTTTTTTTATGTGTGAATATGATTGAATTTTAAGGAGTATAGGAAATAGAATGCTGAAAGGTTTGTTCTTACTCTCTTGCAAAACATAAGAATTGAGGCCCTCAATGAAAACAAGCTGGGACTGGATGGGTAGGAGTTCAA